TCTTAAGCTCGGTAATTAACTCGTTCAGACAATCGTTGCCAAATAGCGTCTGATCGTTTATAAATCAGAAGATGAATTTGTAGTGATGAATACGTTTATTCAGAACACACCACAAAGCGGAGTGGAGAAGCAATGAATAAAACGAAGGAAGCGAATGGATAGGCGAAGCGCGTTGGAGAAGGCAAAGAGCCAACTCAAAGATATAGAACATGATTAAGAATATATAGTCAGACAAAAATAAGGCAGACATATGACAAGCGAAATAGGCGTGCACACACATGAATAAAAGCGACGAATGATTGACAAGGTCAAATGACAAGTGGAACATGTCATGAGAGCTCATACAAACCAGACAATAATATAAGAACGAATGGTACATATAAATTGTTGCAATACAAATGGCTTGGTTAAATAAATTAATCGAAAGGGCTTAACCAAATTGAATGTAAGCGAACTGGAATGAATGTATGTGGAGGCACTACACTTCCAAATTACATTGTATTTATTCTGTGCTCAAAAACATTGAATAGTTATTATTGAAAGTATGTTTTTATTCTTTCTGCTTGACTGTTTTATCAACTAAACTTAAGTGATTCACTTAAAAATTATGTCTTGTGAGAGTATTAGAGTATTTTCCTGACGTCTCTTACTTCATGTTACTTATAGAATAGTGATTAATTATAATTTTTTTTATCGTCAACTATCTGATTATTACATAATGTAAGTGTCCATGTACTATTTAAAAAACGCAACTATAAGATTTAAATTGTCATTGAGATTTAGTTATCTTGATTTCATAAAACTTGATGCGACGAGTTTTTTTATCAATTCAAGATACAATATTTATTTTATTCAATAAATTCAAATTTCACTCAGATAAGCACACTCAGTGACTGACTAACCGGAAAGTAGTGTCTGAATTTTGAAGTAAGCTCAAATAGAAATTTTTTTATTCATAAAAATTCTGTCATCATATACCGATTTTCATTTCAAATTACATTGTACAAATATAATCACATTTAGATAACCAATTGGTAAATATAATTAATAGTACTGAGAATTTGACTATCATACTTTGAATCTTGAAAGTTAGATTATGCTGAATATAAAGAATAACAAATCATTACTGTTTGGCGCCAATCTTTCATTTTTGATGTCGTTGAAATTAATTTCAACTGAGTTTAATTTTTTTTCCATTGTATTATTGATATTTTGATGTCGGAATATGAAGCTAAATCAAGATTTTACAAAGATTATTGTTTTTTAATGCATAATAAGTAAATAATTAAAAAAAAATTATTACATGTACTCAAAATCTCATGTTAAATTAAAATGTTTCTAAGAATAACTACATACTATATGAAAGTTATAAAACACAACGATGACCAAAGTCCCATTGCCTGGTGAATAGGGTTTAAACAAATAATGTCTAGCCATTGGAATGATAATTGTATTTTTTTTTAAAAAAAAGTGAACTGCTTCTTTGAAAAAAATTACACTATTTCACAAAATATGTTGATCACGAACTGGTCAGACAAACTTTCAACCATTAGTACATGTACGCAAAATATGATAAATCTCATGTGAAATTAAAGTTTTTCTGAGAGCTGCATATCTTATGAAGGATGAATAATAGAATAAATACAGTGTAATTTGTAAATAAAAAATTTCCATAATAAAAAGCTAAACTATTACTCAAAAATAACATATTAGTTCAGTCTTGAAAATCTAGATGGTATCCACAAAATTGAATCTTGAGTTAATAAAAACAGTAGTTGCATCCACATAAAAATAATCAAGATAACTAAATCTCAGTGACAATTTAAATCTTATAGTTGCGTTTTTTAAATAGTACATGGACACTTGCATTATGTAATAATCAGATAGTTGACGATAAAAAATTATAATTAAACACTATTCTAATATGTACCATCAAGTAAGAGATATTGGAAAAATCTAATACTTTAACAAGATATAATTTTAAGTAAACTTTCAATGAATTAGTTAAGTTCAGTTGATAAAACAGTCAAGCAGAAAGAATAAAAACATACTTTCAATAATAACTATTCAATGTTTTTGAGCACAGAATAAAGACAACGTAATTTGTAAATGAAAAATTTAAAAAATACAATGCGTTAGAAAGACTAAATTATTACTCACAAATAACGTATTAGTTCAGTCTTGAAAATTCTGATGGTATCCACAAGATTCAAACTTCAATGAGGCCGGTCAAACACGGCCTTTTTGTGAAAGGATTTTTGAGTATTAGCTCCTCACTTAAAAGGCCTTAGTGCGCACCCTTACCGCCGGAGACAGAAATCCGTGAGGTAGGGTGACTTGTGACACTTTTAGAGTCGACCTCTTCTAACCCTTCCTTCCATGTGAGAAGGCAGCATGGCTGCAGATGCTGGTTGTCCGAGGGAAACACTTTACTGCTGTCACACCCCTCTACAGTCAGCAGTACGACTTCGCCCGTAGACCTTGAGTAGCTGCTTTTAGCCTTCCTTAACAAAAAGTTACACTTTTTGCACAATCTATGTTAATCGTTAAACTTGTCAGAGAAGCGTTGAAAATTTAACAAATTCATGAATTTTATACATTTTTTTTAATTTTTAAAGTTATTTAATTTTTTGTTTGTTTGTTTTGCATTTACAAACAACACATAATGATTCTAATTTAGATAAAAAACAAAAGCCTAACAGAAAACGTCCAGTTTTTCTATTTATTCATGGTGAATCATATGAATATGGAAGTGGCAATGCATATGATTTATCTGTATTGGTTAGTTATAGTGATACAATTGGCATTACATTGAATTATCGATTAGGATTATTAGGTAAGCTTACAATTCTGTGAAGTAAATGTACTCCGCTATTTTTTTAATGCTAAAAACATTTATGATATTATTCTTTTTTGGTTCAATGCACTTTTTTAAACAAATTTATACGTGATATTCTCACAGGCTTTGAATGGATGCGCACAGCTGATGAGTCCCATACCAGGATGAAACGGCCGTCCAGTGCTTCCAGGTTTATAAAAGTGGTCTAACATTGATCAATTCATAACTTGAAATGTGTAACTTACCAATATTTACAACTCCGTAATGCAATTACTTGTGCTCACTAATGACTAGCTTTGTGAGGAATCTTCTCCGAGTTGTAGTGAGAAGTCGTGACCAGTGAAGTTGAACCTGTTCGGATGTAGACAGCAACTACCGAAGAGAGTGTATGAGGTTGCGCAAGACCGTGAATTGATCGAAGTTAGACAATAACACCGTGAGATACCGGCTCAGTAGTCCAGAGGTTAAGTGTTCGCGCGTAAGACCGAAGGTCCTGTGTTGGAATCCTGTGAGGTGCAGGAGTTGTGGATGCGCACTGCTGATGAGTTCCATCCGAGGACGAAATGGCCTTCCAGTGCTTGCAGGTTTCTAATGATGGTCTAACAGTGATCGATTCATGATTTCAAACAAGAAATTCTGTCGACTTGATATCAAAGAAAGAGTATCCAGCAATTTATAGAGTAAATGAGATCTGAACAGGTTATAATGTTTCATTATACTGCGTGTGAAATGGAAATCATAACTACCTTTTCACAACTTCTGGCATTTGTTCTATGATGTTCAAGGAGTTATGAAACACCAAAAGATTATATGAACAGAATTTGGGTCATATATAATGAATGAGCATGAAAGCAAATACCCTATTTCAACAGCATTTAAAGTTATTCAATGGCACGATCGAGAAGGGAAAGAGTCCACTAACTTTCTCCGAACGCTCTCGTATGGCAATCAGTGTATAGCTACTTACAGAGAAGTTCTACTCACTGCCTGCTTGCACTAGGAATTTTGTTTACGGAATCGAGTGGATGAAAAGCAAATATTTGGTCCCTAAACCAGATTGGTGGGTGTAGAGAATGAACCTACGGAAGTTGGAAAACCACGATTCCAAACAATAGTGCGCATGATTCCCACGTTCCTAAAAGAACAAATGGCATATGAAACAGCCGTCGGTCATCAGCTACCATGTGACTAAATCTCGTTACGTTGCTCTAATACCTTACGAATTAGGCCTCTAGGCCAAATGCTTAGAAAGTAGCGTCCTAAAAAAAACACTCGCTTCAGTTTGGGCGCTTGATCAGTATCGTAACCCACATACATATGCATTAATTTATGTTTCGCATAAATATTTAGGTGCTTCTTTGTGATTAGAAGAATAGTTATGTTTATAACTGATAAATCCAAACCAACTCGAAGTTTAATGGTGAATAAATAGTGTCAATTTCAATCATGCTTTCATCAAGAAGTTGGGCAAAATGAACTGAATAATCTCAGTATGGAAGTTCAATTAGATGATACATTTCTGTTTGCTTCATTCAGTAGAATTTTTAGACAATTCTGTGAAAGAGACAGTTCGCGCTATAACTGTATTTTCTTTAAAAATCAAACCAATGTACAAAAAATGTTTATTTCAAGTCTAAAAAGATTTAGCAATCAATTATACATACATTAAAACAAAGTGATTAAATATTTGAACATTTATCTAGTCGAATTTCTTTTATTTTATTTTAATCCTTATTTTTATTCAAAAGGTTTTCTTTTCACCAATAATCATGCAGTCAGTGGAAATTATGCACTTTATGATTTACATGCTGCTATCATGTGGATTAAAACAAACATTGCAAGTTTCAATGGTAATCCAAATGAAATCACACTGATTGGTTATGGTCATGGAGCAGCTTTATTACATTTATTTTCTTTATCAAAAATGTCTCAAGGTAATTATTAATTACATGCTTTATTTGTCAATTGTCTACAAAAATATTTCGTCTGATTCAAAATTGAAGTGTGTATTAATAATTTTTTTTAAAACGATAAATGAGGTAAATTGAATAAAACAGTGTCTTATTGAAACAATAAGAAGACGTTATTGATTTGAAAAATTGGGTTGTATGTGTGCTATACACATTTCAAACAATCTGGTCACACATTCAACACTTGTCAATGTATTTTATATGAAGATTAATTGTTGGGGATGTTAGATCCACAAAATCCGCTTGATAAATGCCTTATTTTGGTTTTCACATTTGCCAGCATGGGCTGATCAGTTGACCTTGGGATTTCAATTCCGACCACGAAAATCCATGGCTGTGATTGGTTGCTGTGTATTTTAGTGTGCTACTTTCTTAACTGTCCCAAGGACGTTTCTGTGATGTATAAATAAACGAGAGTTGTGTGCTTGATTGTATTGTGATTGCTGGGTGTTTGTAGAATATACTTTCTACGCTTACCAAGAATTCTGTTTTACTGTTTGGATTCAAGGTAGCCTACCTGGACGCTGGTAATTGTCTCGTTCGCGTTTATCGACTAAGGTAAACCCTTAATAGCCTCAAGCATACTAGTGACGAACCTAACATTAATAAAAGGTCAAATAAATAAAAGTTCAAATCGACATTAGATGATAATTATAAATGAAGGCGAGGGAAGCTTAACTTAATACGAAAAAATAATAAAAGGTAGGAAATTGTCGCATTACCACCTAGGCCATACATTGGCTTTAAGATTATTGACCAAAACGTTGAGATGGATAAAATAAATTACAAATGGTAACTGATTACTTTCGAACAAATGAAACATTCTTGTAAAATACAATAAAATAAGATCCATGATCCGTGGAGAAAAAAAAATACATCACCAAAATATCTGAAATGTGAATTAGGTGTAGGTGTATATTTGTTTGAATGTTTCAATATTTCATATTGTAATTAAAACCAAACTGCGGGTGATACGAATAAACTGAAGTATATGTTTTCATGAGTAGCGAATAAATCAATAAACAGCTAATAGATACAAATATCAGAAATAAGCACAGAAATATTCCGCATTGAATTTTTTTTTGTGTCAATTAAGTTTTCACACTTGAAATTACAACACAGTAAGTATTCATCTCTTTTCTTATTTATTATTATAGGTACAACTAGTACTGGAATTAAACGTATCATACTACTTAATGGATCTGGATTCGCACCATGGTCAACATCACATCAAACATTATCAATTTTAACCGAATTATTAAAACACTTGAATATAACTGAACAAAATTTAAAAAATGCCACTTCCCTAAATGAAATTAAACATCAACAACATCATAACACTGACTATTTAAAAAGACATAAATCATTGTTTGCACAAACTGATTATTCAAATTCATTGGAAACATTGAATGATTCAAAGGTTACTAATAATGTTGTTAATTTAACAAGAAATAATATGCCATTACAATTAATGAAGCAATTAGTTTTGATTTTGAAAAATTCCACTGTTACATTTTTAATGAATTTACAAGAAAAATTAACTCAATCATTTATAACAACACGTTTAGGACCGGTAATATCGAAATATTTATTTCCAAGCTATTTATTGAATAATAGTTTAATTAAACAAACAGAATCTGTTCATCGTTATCGTAAAGAGCGACAACAACATCAATGGTATGAAAAAAAGTATTCACATATTTTCGGTAAATCCAATGAATTGAATGGTCGAATGTTAGCTCATCATGTAGAGACAAGTTTATTTATGAATGTTGATTTATTGATTGGATGGACTGAAGCACCAGCATCTAGCTTATACTACTCACATGCTAATCTACATAAAATGCCTTATAGTTTAGTGATACAACAATTGGTCAATGAAATATATCCTTATAATCAAGATGTAATTAAAGAAATTATTGAATATGCTTATTGTTATTCTGGGAAATTTCATTTTGATGACAATAAGAATGATAATGATGTTAGTGATAATTCAGAAAAACAATTCAAGGAGATTGACTGTAATTGGGTAAGTGTTTGATAATAAAAGTATATTTGTTCATTGTGGTGATGTTTGGTTCTCTGAGCTGGATATTTTGGTTGTGGAGCTTTCATTGTTATTCTTCTGAACAACATCATCAGCACAAACTTCAGATAGAAGTGAAGCATTTAAATTTCGCCACGTTTGACCTGTAGCTTGTTCTGTTAACCTCGATCTTGATTGGTTGTTGTTGATCTTAAACCTGTCGTTGTTTGCACCTTTGTTTTGATTGTATCCCTCTTTTGATCTGTTTCTTGATCCTATGTGACCCATGATTTTTCTGATTGGTTGATAAATTAGGTCAATGTCAATGTGTTTGTTGATTGCTGACTGACCTGAGTGCCAAGCTTCTGAAAATCATCTAGTGTTCTTTGTCCTCCCAGTATTTCCACATTGTCCCAATCGAATGTATGTACAAAATTGTCGGTGTGTATTGATATAAGCGAAGAATTGTCGTGGCGTTTGACTGCCAATAAACGAAGCTGAAGAGGCCGTCCACTTTGTCCTATGTAGTGTTTTTCACAGTCTGAGCAATTTATTTTGTAGATGCTATTTGGTTTTTTATTCTTTTGTCATTTTGTTCAACGTAGATTCCATTGGAACAACTTATATACAGTTATTAAGGGTGACAAGATGTTCATTAACAATGATGTATATTTCTTTGACACTTTATAAGTTCGTGAAATCTGCCTGTTCTACTCGGGTACACTGAATATCAGAAAGTTAAATAAGAAGTTACATGTAAGCGGATTTTGACACATTTATCGAATCAATGTCGCTTTACATAACTAATGTTAAACGTACAAACACAAGGTGTTTGTTATGAGTTATTATTGTCAATCTAAGAGGTATCCATAAAGAAAACTTATATAGAATTTTCATAGCGAGAGTAATTTGATTTTCAGTATACAAACCTGATAATAAAAGTTGAAAGTAATGTGAAAATCTTGAACATATACCAGTTTCATTAATTCATAATGATTTATTCTTAAAGTTTCAATTTCACGGAATGTTTCAGCTGTAATAGTAAATTCAGACATATTATTTCATTCTACTTGTACTTTCAACAAGTTTTATCAAAACAGGAACAATGATTTTGTTTAAATCATCAACTAATCAATGTTAGACCACTTTAAGAAACCCGGAAGCACTTGACAGTGTATAGGGTCCAGCACGCGGGAATCATGGATGCGCTCTGTGGATCAGTTCGATGCCAGAATGAAACGACTGACTAGTGCTTCCAGGTTTCTAATGGTGTTCTAATATTGATCAGTGCGTGATTTCAATGAAATTCAACAATCACCAAATCCATATACTGAAAAAAAACAAATTTTTAAAGATTACAATGTATTGTATGTGATTACTATTTCTCTAGATATATACCAACTAGTTTTACTTCCATAAGTTTATTAAAGAGTGTAATGTATTAAAACTGAAGGCTTTTAAATACTATTCATTCTAAAAGCAGGTTGTTTTGAGAACTGATTATATTTTGACTACCGCTGAATAATACGAGAAAGTACTGGACAGTTATTTCTTCTTAGTGATGACTTGCGAGACCACCAGGTATCAAACCCAGAAATTTAAGGCTTTGTAATAAACACAGAAATTTTAAACCATTGAGTTAGTATCTAACTGTATTTATGTTATAGTATCAACTTTATTCTCTGCTGTAAGTGATACTTGTTTTACTACTCATGTAGTTGAGCTTCACCGGCCATAACTGCTCGATAGGACGACATACTTGGTTGCACTTGGAAACGATAAGTTGAAATAGTCGTCATAGTAAAGTAAATCGTTCAAAAAATGACGGTTTAAGCTGAAGAACTTGTAATGAGAGGCGAATTACTATTGTACCGGTAATAGTGAATGTCTAAGGTTAGTTCAATACTTCTCACTGAATGGATGGAACAAAATAAAGATTAGTCAGTTATAAACGAAGGATCTAATACATTGTCAACTTTGCCGCAGTGTAAACACTAAGAAAACTCACAAGTTGAACAGAAAAGTAGTCACAGTAGCTACGTCTTTGAATATAAAAAAATTAAGCATAAAAAACTGTTTGAAAAAGATAACTGGATTAAGTATGTGGTTTATAAATATGCTTTATCATGAATATTCGAGAATAACTGAAAACGTCAGTCAGTTATAACGTTGAAATTCGTATGTACGTACATCACTTCAGGTCGCCATACCGCAATTGTTAGTTCAAATCCCATAGTGGTGGAGATAATAGAAGAATTAGCGGTAATGGAAAATACTAGGAATCGAAAATATTATTAAAGAAGTATAGTTCAGTTATTGAACTTTAGAAAGAGAAAGATAGAGATGATAAAGAATTTAGAAGGTTAGAATTTGAGAGAACACAACAAGTGGATACACCTGCACCATTGCAAACGATTTTGAGCCATGTCGTTCAAGGTCTCCAACCATTGGTGACTTTTGTCTCGCAGACCCCAACCAGGTAGTCTACGCCTAGCAATATGAGTCAGTACATTTGTCATCACTTCATGAATTTGTGCCATGTTTTGATCTGATCACGCCTAGCTTCCTTCCAACCTACTCCTATACCACAAAACATCGCTAAGCTGAAAAAAAAGTATTTAATGCTCACGTCTGGATTACTGCGACCTGTTTCACTCCATTGCGTATATTTCTAACGATTGATTACAAACAGCTCGAGAATCATAATCAACAAGTTTGATTCTCCCCCGACCGTAGCTGCTACCTTGACGTGGTGGTCGGGCTTGCCTATCGTGATGATCCAACCGAGCTATATTGGCTCGAACATATGTTCCTGAAGGTCCTACCATGCCAGGCAGGTCGATCGAAGAACGATGAGACTAAAAGCAGCTACATAAGGTATGAGGGCGAAGTCGTACTGCTGACTGTAGAGGGATGTGACAGCAGTAAGGTGTTTCCCTCGGACAACCAGCATCTGCAGCGATGCTGCCTTCTCACAAGGAAGGGTTAGAAAAGGTCGACCCTAAAAATGTCACACCTCCCCTACCTCACGGATTTCCGTCTCCTTGGGTAAGGGTGCCCACTAAGGGCCTTTAAGAACGGAGCTAATCCTCTAAATACCTTTCATAAAAAGGCCGTGCGTGACCGGCCTGAAGCAGTTGTCCCTTGGGCTCTGCGGTCACGCACCAACACTAATCCATCTTCCTTTTCAGGTCCCTCCATTCAGTACCAAATGAACAATTAGTTATACCAAGCAATAATGCTATTTTTAGCATTCTCTTGCAACACTTGTCAGTATCGCTTTTGAATACAGACGAAGGCCAGGCACATTAATGACGCTACCGGATAAATAATTAGTGAATTCAATCGTATAAAATTCATTTTAAATAAGCAGTCAGGATTTTGACCAATTTGGTCTCGTGTGCTTTTACGGGTATGAAGGCGGTTGTCAGTTACCGACTGCCCACACTATGGAAGGGTGCTTCTTGAACATGAAAAGGAAGGTAGATTAATGTCGGTCTTATAGACCTGAGAGCGTGACCACAGAGCCCAACAGATAACTGCTTGAGGCCGGTCACGCACGGCCTTTTTATGAAAGGTTTTTGAGTATTAGTTCCACTCTTGTTTCAAAGGCCTTACCTCCAGAGACGGAAATCCGTGATGTAAGGTGAGGTGTGACATTTTTAGGGTCGACCTTTTCTAACCCTTCCTTGTGAGAAGGCAGCATCGCTGCAGATGCTGGTTGTCCGAGGGAAACACCTTACTGCTGTCACATCCCTCTACAGTCAGCAGTACGACTTCGCCCTCATACCTTATGTAGCTGCTTTTAGTCTCATCGTTCTTCGATCGACCTGCCTGGCATGGTAGGACCTTCAGGAACATATGTTCGAGCCAATATAGCTCGGTTGGATCATCACGATAGGCAAGCCCGACCACCACGTCAAGGTAGCAGCTTCGGTCGGGATTTTAAATAAGCGCTTTTGATCCATTGTTTAAATTCATTTTCATACTAATTATTTGTTCTTTTCACTTTTTACGCTTCATAATTAAACGATAGAAAATTCTAGATATATTATCTGATGGATTGTACATTGTACCAATTATACAAACATTGAAAATGCATAGTGATCATTACACAAATCAAGAGATTCACAAACGACTACAGGATCCTTCATCATCATCCTTATCCTCATCATTGCCTTCATTATTATTCACAACAGATCATCCATCAACAACTCGTTCAAAAGAACAAATTAACAATAATAATAGTAAAAACAGAAAATCAACTTATGCATTATTTTTCAATTATAAAACAATTCAACAAATGACAACTAATAGAAATACTACTGACAAACAATTACATATGAGTAGAATCGGTTTCGGTGATGATTTACCATATTTACTCGGTGCACCATTGATTAGTCCGAATCAATTAGAACCATTCTCTAATGAATATACTGAAAAGGATAAAAAAATTTCTGTTAATTTAATGAATTATTTAACAAATTTTATGCATAACGGGTAAGTTGTAGCATGAATTAACGTATATGACTTGTATATGTACTAATTATGTGTTTGCTAAATTCTTTATTCTACTTGTGAGTGAGAGAAAATCGATAAATCGGTTATTTCTAAATAGTTAATAAATTTTTTAGATAATAAATTGATCAGTGTTAGACCCTCGCCAGAAACCTGGAAGCACTGGACGGCTGTTTTGGCCTTGTATGGGACTTATCGGCAGTGCGCATCCACAACCCAATGATGGAAATCATAAATTTTGTTGAACATTTAAAATGCATTTTGCAAAGAAATAATCAAACTTAACATGGAGTATTCTTTTAGGTCGCCTGCCTGCATTCTCCAACCTACTCTGTCTTCGATCCTCCTTTCCAGTTCTGTCCAATTTCTGTTCATTTTTCTCTTGTCTTTATCTATTTCTCGGTGTAATGTGTTCCTTGGCCTTTCTCTTTTCCTTTTACATTGAAGGTTCCAAGTGAGGTCTTGTCTTGTGAGGCAGTTGGGTGCTTTTTTCAATTTGTTTCCTATCCACTTCAACCAATTCTTCTTGATTTCATCCTCCGCTGCAATATGGTTTGTTCTCTCCACAGTAGGTTGTTGCTGATGATATCTGGTCAATTAATCCGAAGTGGTCTGCTAAGTTTACAAATATATTATTGCACACATTGTAAAAGCTAGAGCATACATACGAAAAAAGTGAACAGATGAATTAGTAAACGAGTATAAAGTACTGGTGTTAGACAATCAAAGTAATAGACACCAACTATTGGTACCTGAGCTTCAAATAGCTTGATAGTCAAAACTGGAAAACAAATAATAGATTTTCAAGTGCATTACATAATTGCTATTATCGAAGTAGCTATCAATGTAAACCAGTTATCTTGTATAATCTCTTTATAAATACTCAATAAATTCATTTTCTAAATAGTCTGTCTTTACTAACTATATGTTTAAAGTTTTTGGAGAGTTTTTTAGCATCTCAAACTAACAAAATTATTATGTTCTATGAAAGACTGTACTAAAAAGTGAATGCTTGTTGTAGCATTTTGTTTTGGAGAAATCAGATGAAAATATAACACAAGCGCACCAATGATATTTGAATGTACATAGTAGTTGAGGTCATTTTCTTGACTGGTGAGACGAGTTCACTGTGAATGTGTTTTATTTTAGAAACACTGGATCATATTATTTTTTGATGTAATGATATGTTACTGAGTTATTTTTTCTGGTTAGAGTATTTTAACAGAGTTTTCTATGGGATGGGGTCGCTCACCCCATGCCCAACCCTCCTCCTTTATCCGGGCTTGGGACCGGCATTTGTCCCAGAGGGCCTGCAGGCGAAGATACCTTAGAGGACATAACAAACGTTACATATCTGGGAAGTATCATAGACGAGCAGCGTGGATCTGATGCAGGTGTGAAGATGAGGATCAGTAAAGCAAGTGAACAACATTTGGGACTCCAAACAACTATCAACCCACACCAAAATCAGAATTTTCAATAGAAATGTCGAGACAATTTTACTGTATGGGGTGGAAACTTTGAAAATAACTAAATACATCATCCAGAATATAAAAGTGTTCATTAATAGTTGGATATCCAAAATGCTTCAGACGCGTTGGTCAGACAATATCAGCAGGAGAGGACAAACTAGATTCCAGCTGAGAAAGATATCAGTAAGAAGCGCGAGAAGTGGATAGAACACGTATTGTGGGAAGCATCCAACTGCGTCACAAGACAAGCCTTCACTTGTGATTCTCAAGGTCAAATGAAAAGAGGAAGGCCAAGGAACACGTTACGCCTAGAAGAGGAAACAGACATGAGAAGAATGAACAAAAATTGGACTGAACTATAAAGGGAGACCGAACAAAGGGTAGGTTGGAGAATAGTTGTATGCGGCTTATGTTCCAATGAGCGTAACAAGCGTAAGTAATTAAGTAATATGTCATTAAACTCAACTCTGTATTATAAATCATAGCACCCAATTAAAGATCTGCTATATACTACTTGCAGTGTACAACATGTCATCATCATCATCATCATCATCAACCGCCTGTTACCCCCAATGGAGCATAGATCGCCCACCAGTTTTCGCCAACCAACTCTGTCCTGGGCTTCCATCTCCAGTTCTGTCCAATGTTTGTTCAGTCCTCTCAAATCTTTCTCTATTTCTCGGCGTAATGTATTCCTTGGCCTTTCTCTTTTCCTTTTGCCTTGAAGGTTCCATGTGAGGGCTTGTCTCGTGACGCAGTTAGGTGCTTTTCGTAGTGTGTGTCCTATCCACTTCTACCGCTTCTTCCTGATTTCCTCCTCCACTGGAATCTGATTTGTTCTCTCCCACAGTTGGTTGTTGCTGATGGTGTCTGGCCAACGAATCCGAAGTATTTTGAGTAGACAACTGTTCATAAACACTTGTATCTTCTGGATGATGGCTTTGGTAGTTCTCCATGTTTCCGCTCCATACAGTAGAACTGTCTTGACATTTGTATTGAAAATCCTGATTTTGGTTTTGGCTGAAAGTTGTTTGGAGTTCCAGATATTTTTCAACCGTAGAAATGCAGCCCTTGCTTTGCCAATCCGTGCCCTCACATCTGCATCGGATCCACCTTGGTTGTCGATTACGCTGCCAAGATATGTAAAGGTGTTAACGTCCTCCAAGGCATCTCCATCAAGAGTGATTTGGTTGGTGCATGTTGTGTTGCATCGGAGAATTTCGCTTTTTCCTTTATGTATGTTGAGACCTACTGCTGCAGAGGCTATCGCTACACTGGTCGTGTTCTCTTACATTTGTTGTTGCGTGTGTGATAGAAGAGCCTGGTCATCTGCGAAGTCCAGATCGTATTTCTCTTAGTTTTGCTATACTTGTTGTACCTACATGAATGATCAATCATATATTTGTGATATTTTCCTATCACCATAGTATTTTTAATAATTGACTGCTATCAACAGTAATTTGATCTAATTTTAATTTAATTACATTCAACTATTTTTTTTATTTTATTTATCGTTTAGTGATCCAAACAAAGAATTTATTGGTTATAGAAATAAAAAGACACCAGTTCATTGGCCGGAATACACTTATGATTCGAAGAATTATTTATATGTTGGTAAGAAATACATTCATATAAAATCTATCTGTCAATCAGTTTATGATAAATGTATTAGATTTTGTAGTAAAAATATTATCATCTTCAAATTGATCGCTTTATTTCAGATATTTACTTGGCTGATATTCACTCGACTCAATACTTGTCTAAAATTATATAATTATATATTCTCAGTGTAAATTAACAATTTAAGAATTTTTTACACATTGAATTCATCAATCAATCATTGTTAGACCACCATTAAAAACGTGGAAGCAGTGGATGGCCGTTTCGTCCTGGTATGGGACTCATCAGCATTGCGCATCCACGACTCCTGCTACTTGTGGATGCTCACTACTGATGAGTCCCATACCAGAAAGAAATAGTCGTCCAGTGATTCCAAGTTTCTAATGGCGGTCGAACATTAACCGATTCATGATTTCCATCTGTGGAATGTAGCTAACTTAAATTTACCTAAATAACACTACTTCACAGCTGTTATGACTAGTAATAATAATAGTAATTATAATACTGAATGTAATTAATAATGAAATTTCAACTCAAGTTGTTATTATTTTAAAATAGGTGATGATTCTCGAAACAAACAATCATTGCATCCAATCAAAAACCAAATTCGTAATCTATGGGGAAATAAAGAAAATGAACAAGATTTATTTACAATTAAACAACTTTATGAAACTGATAAACATAAACTATGGTCTACATTATTTCCAAGTTTAACATTCATGAATAAAAAACCAAAACAGTACAGTAAATTGAATCAGGATGAAAAGAATATTGAAAAATATTCAAATAAACAACGATCGTTTAATAACTATTTTTATTTTCTACAATTAAACGAAACCGATTGGTGGTGGTCAAATGGACAAATGAACAAAATGCAAACTATGTCAAATTTATTTCCAAATAATAATAATAATAATAATCAAAATATAGAAAATTTATTAAATATTGTAGACAATAGTAAATTGTTTGAAACAGAAATGTTCATGTCAAATATATCATCATCTACTGGGAATTTTAGTCAATTACCATTATATAAAGAAAATGTAAGTTATATTTATTGTAGTATTCGTTAAATGTAAGTAGTAGTATTCTCACTTGCCAAACTTTGACTTGTTTATTGATCATATAAGTAGTTAGACTGTTAATTATATACATATGATCGCATTAGTTTAAATGATTTTACGCTAAGTTATGAAATTTGTTATTATTATTATTATTAGTATTAGTATTATACTACACTTTTTATATTCTGAGTCTTGAGTTTGTTCACTTGTCGGGGACGGCAGATCCCCAGAATTTATTCATGGGCTGATAAGTTGATCTTGAGATTACATTTCCCACCCCTGAAAATCCTTGACTGTCATTGGTTGATGTGTTAGTTTAGTACGTTATTTTTATGGCTCTCCCAAGGATGTTTCTATGATGTATAAATAAACTCGATTTGTGTGCTTAAGGTGCTTGTAGAACACACTTTCTACGCCATATAAAGACTTCTTTCTTCAGTTAGACGGGGGCAACGGATTAGAGTAGCCTATCGTATCGCTGGATCATTTGTCTCGTTCTCGTTTGTCAACTAAGGTGAACTCGTAATAATTTCAAGCAAACCAGTTGACGAGCATAACCTTACTATCATTGGTACTACTGATATTTTGATCTCTTTGATTTATCTAAGGTTATATGATAACTTGAACAGATAGATGAATGATTGAATCAGATCTTGTATCGCTTATAATGAACTGATTGATTTATTCTACTCACTGGTCAAATTCTCTGATCATCTATAATGTACTGATGCTTATGAGCTTGTATGTTCACTGCATCTTGTTTGTTATGATAAAAATTTCGAAGCATAGTTCATTGGATTCATTCATCAATAAGAAACAAACATTTGTTTTAGTTGCATGAGCATTGCTGAAAATTCATTGAACTGAACAAGCTATTCTCACAATATAAACTCTTTTCGAAAAAATATTCTCTTATAATGAACATTATTTTAAACCATTTTATCTGATCTCTTACTGTTAATGTTTCATTCTAATAAAAATACGTAAACTATGGAGGATGGACGACAACATGACTGCTATTGATTGGTTGTATACATTTTCTTTTATTTGATTACGTTAAATGATTATGCCACGCTTACTTTTATTAAATGCAAATTCATTTCTAACTATCAAATTACAATATGACCATTCGTCAAAATAGTTTGACGTTAAGGTAGACTTTGTATGGTTTCGGTTGAATTTAGCCAAACAATAAGAAGCGCCAAATTTAAATTTTGTGCTGATTAACATTTTAATTTAAATAAAACTATTGATTGCTTTCAACATTTCACAGTTAATAAATTAATGTAGAATGTGACAGATTTACAGATATCTGTTATGAATAATTGAAATAAAAATTTCAACTGTATGAAATGTAATTTGTGACGATATATTTTTTTTGGGATCATTTTTTTCAAATCACCATATAGGATATTGAACAGAATTCAAATAGACTCATACAAACATCAGCTGAAACTAATGAATTATTAATGAATTTCAATTTATCAAATAAATCACATTCCATTGATGAGACTAACACAAAGATTCAATCGTATTCACAATCATTAACCACATCGAAACAACCAATATATTCTCATTTAACTTTAATCTGGATTATAATGGCTGGATCAATGTTATTTTTACTCAACACGTTAATATTTATAGCAATCTATTATCAAACACATCAATTGAGGAAAAACAATCTATATCAACAATCTAAATCCAGTAGAAACAAATCTACAATCATTCAAGGAACAGAACCAATTTCAAGAATCAAGCGAAAACCTATATCTAATTTCCGCGCATCAAATAAAAATCAATCGTGGCAAACAGATCATATGGATGGAGGTATGGTTCTTTTTTTTTTTTTATAAAAGCACGATAAATATATTTTATAGTGAAGATTTTTCTCTTTTGTGAACCAATTTTCCATTAACGCAAATTTATATCTAGGTTAACACAAATGTAAATGTATAATCACTGATGACACTAATTTAGACCTTTAGTGTAGTGATGTGAAAAATCTTCCACTTACCCCATGAATTGTACAAACTACTAAGTGTTCATTGGTTGAAAGGATAACTGACTAATCAGTGCTTGAAATTTTGTCAACTAACTGTTCATTATTGAAAGGTTGTATGAAATACGACGATTGGTGTGCTCAAATATTCACTACATAGAAAATTGGCCGCTAGGAAAGTTTGAATTTCAAAATTTAGGTGGAATAATTCACAGGGATAAAAAAATTTGTTCAATATTTATTGATCATTTTTAGAACTATTTCCATTTAACCGATAAATTAACGCAACTTATCGACTATGAATTAAGAGTTTATAACATTAAATTTATAGCTATATTTATTGAAATTTACTTCCTGACTGGAAAAGTTCATTAAATTGGAACACCAAATAAATAGATAACATTTTGACATTGAATATAAAATCTCAGTGAAAACACCAACACTTCCTTATTTAGAAGTACATTTAGAAATTTAAGGCCTAGTAGACTGAGTTTTATTCCTTGTATCTTACTACTGACTAATACTATGTGACAATATCAAATGTAGAATGTTTGTCTACTGTTGCAATTTCTAGAACTTTCGTAATACTATCGAACAGAGAGTTTAGGTGTAACAACTGTAGTTGAAATAAATAATTATCCAGAAGATATAGTAAGTCCTATAAGGAGAGTTAAAATGCACACACAATGAACAGTAGTGGTGTGAGTAATCAAATGGATAATTGGAAGATAAAGTCTCATTTATCAGAAGCGTATACTTTCTTCTAATCGTTGATGAAACGGTGGATGATCACTTTAAATAAACGTCAACTGATATGCTCGCCAACTGATATACTTGAATACTATTACTAGTTCACCTTACTCGGTAAACGGAACGAAGGCCAACGATACAGTGACACGATAGGCTATTCTAATACGTTGTCTCAGGCACTGATAACAAAAGCAAGAAGTCTTGATAAGGTATAGAGAATGTATTTTACAAGCACCCAGAAAATACGAGGTTCGCAAGCACACAAATCATGCTTATTTATACAATGAGAGAAACGTCCTTGGAAGAGTCACACAATAGCGTACTAAAAAATCAGTCAACCAATGATAGCCAACGATTTTCCGGGTGAGAAATGTGAT